TCAGCTGATTTCTTTGACACGACTTCTGCAGCGAACAGAACTTTTGATGATTGTTCAATGGACATTTGTCGATTCCTGTTCTATTTCCCGATACTGTAAGTAGAAGAAGAAACCAGATTGACAAAAACTTCTCGACTTTCGTTTGTTGCTCAACGAATGTTAGCAGAAAAAAAAGACGGAAAAAACGTGAACAAAAAAAGGCACTTTTCGGTCATTATGATAATCTTAAAACTTTACAAATATCTATGTTAATGCGAGGAGAAAAAACCTCGATATTTATGTATGACATACTATGAGTGTTATTTGAAAAGAGGCAAAATGAACGCAGAGACCATGCACTGAAATTTGTCAATTTCGATGTATTCACTTTTGTAGGTCGCCCAAACTGAAGGATATGCATTGTATTGGTGCATTTGGTGACATTGTTTGCTCACGTTTATTCTCTCAAAATTCGCACTACCGCCAACAAAGATCTGAATTCTTCAGCTACGTCCAGCCGCATGTAATCTTCTTACTCCATTTGCCTCGCTGTTTATCGGTTGCAATCTCCAAAGAACTGACTGTACTAAATCTACCCAAAAATTTTTACTTTGATGAGTCCGATTCTAAAATCCGCTTTCAAAAAAAAATTCTATAGAACCTGTAATTGAACAAACTGTTTTGGTAACGATGATTCACACTTTTACTCCTCAACGTAGAGCCTCTTCAGCCGGGCTATCTGATACTTATTGTATTTCAAAAAATCAGGCCTTATTCGGATTACTATATCTCTCAAGTAACCGTTCGACAATTTCCCTATGATTAATCGACTCGTTCCTTTTTTTTTAACTTTTCAATTTACGATTACATGTTTCCAGTTGTTTTTTTTTTTAACGCAAAAAAAATGATTATTTCTTTTGATCTTATAAAACTGTGACATTATGAACAACTAAGCAAACATTTAGAATATTGATCCTTTGTTTAAGATTTGAAAAAACTCAGAAAATAACGTTCAGATGATACTTCAATGTGCCAACCTAAAAGCATGTCTTTGACAGTTCAGCTTACTGTTACATTTGTCAGTTAAACGTCAAGCACAATTTACTGAACAGTCTTCTTTTCTTTCTCTGATAAATTTTCTTGGCATTTCATTAAAACAAAAGAAAAAATTCGCTTTTTTTACTGCTAAAATTGAAGTTCTCCAAAAATTTTGCTTGAGAAAAAAACTGTTATTTACCTGTTGATATTAGGGTGATTGAAAAGATGCACATTTATTTTGGCATCTAATTGTCGTCATTTGACAAGCACTTTCCGTCAACTATTTTTTGACCAATTTTCCAGTCATTTTGATTCAGAATAAAAGTTCCAAACAGTTTGTAGCAGTATGAATTCAAAAACTGATGTAAGCGTCGGAAATTCGGTCGGCGATACTGGAAAGCAACTAAACGGTGGTTATACGAAACGCACCAGTTTTATACTGATTGTTTCGATGATCCTTGACCTTCTAGCTTTTACCTGTATACTACCACTGTTTCCAAAGATTCTTATCTTTTACTCCTTACCAGAAAACCAGGTTAATTTTGCTAAAAAATATTATGAAAATCAAATAGTGAATCTGCTGCTACCTCATCTACTCTCCTTCTAGAAAATCTTTTCTATAAAGTTTCAAAGTTTTATTTCCAGCAGTACAGTTTTACCGTTCTAACTCAAAAAAAAACTATTTTCTTTTTTTTTAGGATTGGTTATACAAGAAATTTGTTTCAAGCATAACACATTTTCAAAATTTCCTGAATGTCGGCAATACAGAACAATTTCATTTTGTGTTTATAGGAGGTATGTTGTTAACAGCATATTACGTGTCATGTCAGATGCTGATAAAATACGAAACTCTGGAACCCAACAATGCATAATAGTTGTAAAAATTTCAGGATTTCTTGGGTCTATGTTTTCTGGTCTTCAGTTTCTGTCTTCACCACTGCTTGGTGCCCTTTCAGATGTTTGCGGACGTAAACCAATAATTATTTTATCTGTCGCTGGTACTCTTGTTTCCTACTTAGTGAGTTCTACAATAAACGTCATTCTGAACTACAGCAGAAAATTTGGTTATAAAGTTTTAATAACGTGAAATTCTCTTCTTAAAAATTGCTCTAAACAATTTTTTAATCTAAAAATCTGTAATCTTGTAACGTATAACAGTAAAATAAAGATTATGCTTATATAAGGTATGGTCTCGAGCTACAACATTTACACTGTTTGTTCTATCAAGAATTATTGGTGGACTAAGTAAAGCTAGTGTCTCTATTTCAACAGCAATTGTATCTGACATATACGCTCCAAAAATTATTGGGAAAGGAATGGTCTGCTATTGAAATACTGCGATTCTGTTTTGGATTCTGCAGTCGATACTGAAAGATCTGTTACTTAACGGTAAGCTCATCTGATAGAGTCGAATTTCAGGCCCTAATAGGAGTAGCTTTTTCTGTTGGCTTTGTTGTTGGGCCGGTGTTTGGTGCCTATTTTGCACAAACGGCAAAAACGGTCGCTGACGGCGAATTATTTTTTGTAACTCCTGCAAGATTTGCCATTATGCTTACCTTGATCGAACTCCTCATAATTCTCACTTTACTTCCAGAAACATTGGAACAGAAAAAGCAGGTATAGTAACTTTTTAAACAGCTTTTCAAATATTTATGAATTGGAATAGTATTTGAATTGTACTGCTAAATTACCCAATTTATCACAAATTCCCTTTAGTTTCTCATATTATGTTTTAAAATGGATATAAAGTGGTTTAAATTGTGTAAAAATAATGAAGAGCAACATTAATTGAAGATTCTAATTACAGAAGATTAAATCAGCAAATATTGCCCGAAATGCTATGGTTTACGTAAATCCTAGTGCACTATTTGGATTTGCAGCACTTAAGGATAGTGTTCCAGCAGCAGGTATTTTTTGGCAGTTTTTTTTTTTTTTTTTTTTT